TGGACCATTAACAGAACTAAACTGGACCATGAACAGAACCAAACTGGACTGTGAAGAGAACAAAATTGGACCATAAACAGAACCAAACTGGACCATGAACAGAACCAAATTGGACCATGAACAGAACCAAACTGGACTGTGAACAGAACCAAACTGGACCAAAAACAGAACTAAACTGGACCATGAACAGAACCAAACTGGACCATGAACAGAACAAAACTGGACCAAAAACAGAACCATGAATTTCTCCTTCATCCTCTAATCTTTCATGTGATGACGGCTCATCTGTCTTCTAAAGGGATTTCTTTTTACATTCAAGCATTAAAATATTTTCTAAACTGAGTTGAAATAAAGAGCCAGAGAACTTTTAATGTGCTGCAGAGAATTTATGGACCCAGTGAGGTTTGTTTCTTGGCCTTCAGCACCGAGCTGAAACTGGATCCTGCTGGATATTTGACAACATCGGAAAAACTGACCTCAGAACAGCAGAGGATGAAAAACAAACCCTCTGGTTATGAAAAAGGCATAAAAGTTCATCTTTGGTGCAATAAAAACACCTTGATCATTTCACATTAAACAGTAAATATTAAAGAAAGACTTTAAAATAACAAAGGTGACTAACGGTGGGAACTGCATCATTTAAATCAGATGGAGTACATTTTGCAGCTGGGCCCTACACTTTATTTGATTTATTTTCTGCTTGAGCTCTAATGAATTTACATGTTTAAACAGTCCTAATAATTTATACATTAAGTCAGAGTTTGGTCACTGAAAAATCATCATTAATGTTTAATTATGCTATTTTAATTTCATCTTTCTGTTTAATTCAAACAAAGACTTTGAATTTGAAAATGTTAGACTTATCAAAATGGTTATAAAAAGACTTAGGGATTATTGTATATTATCTATTATTTTTAATTTGTTTTTTAGGGTAAAGTGAGGAAAAACTTTCAGTATTTTAAGAGTTTAATCCCAACCAGATAATAAATGTGTTATTCTAAGAGATTCAGGTGAATAAACCAAATGGATTCTAGTGTCGGTGCAGATTGGAAAAACAATTCACCTCTTGGTTCCACGCCCGGTCCAAACACCTTCACCCCGCTGGTGTCGACAGCTGGATCCACCTGCAGACGGACTGGGAACTCTGGCACCATGTGTCCTCCGTAGTTGATGGTGATGGTATACATGCCTGGGCATGGAGGGGTGTAGGTGATGGAATAGGTCCCGTCACCGTTGTTCTGAACATGGACCTCAGCTTTGGAGCCACTATCTGAGATGATCTCGATGGTGAGTTCAGCTTCACCGGCCTTAGAGCAGTCCACCGTAAAGGCCCCGGTCTCGTTCACCTTTCCCCGCTCCAAGCCGGGGCCACTGGCCATCACCTTGCTGGGGTCGAACACGGACTGGACCACGGCCTTGAAGGGCGACCCAGGGACATGCTGGTCTGCAAACAGGATGTTGATGGCGTATTCTCCGGGTTCGGTGGGTAGATAGGACACAGAACAGGATCCGTCCCCATTGTCCTGGCATTCGATCTTGGCCTCGCATGGACCTTCCACTGTCAGGCCAAGTCCACCGGTTCCAGCTCCCTTTGTGTCGATGGCAAACGGAGCTGGTTTACCCACTAACCCACCCTGAAGACCAGGACCGTAGGCCCGGACCTGCAGGACAACATGTGCATCAATGAGTAAACAGAGGCAACATTGACATTGACAAAAGTCTTCTCCATGTCCTGGAGGAACCATTCCACTTTGTCAGTTAAAACAATCAGCTTCATTTAGATTTCGGATTTATATCCTGACATTTATTTAGAACAAATGACAATGAATCCATTATGGACAAACTTTTCTTCAGGCTTGTAAAGTAAATATTTTATATCTTTATTCTCATATTTAATATTGATCATTGGTCCATATTGTCATTTTTTGGATATCTACAGATAAGACTCTAGTTTTAATCAACATTGTTTTTAGTTGTGTTATCGTGAAAGTTCTCAGAATTTTAGGCGAAAACACTGAAATGGGTCCTCACCTTTGAAGGATCTGGGGGCATGACGCCCTCCACGGTGAACGAACTTCCTGGGACGGGGTTTCCATCATAGCTGATGTCCACTCTGTACAGTCCCTCCTCGGGGGGGACGTACTTCACAGTGTGAACCTCATTGGCTGTGCCAGATTCCAGTTTGCTGGGGATTGGACGACGTGATGCGGAGGTGATCTTTACATCCAGTTTCCCCTGACCTCCAGCACCTCGAGTCGTGATGGAGAAGTCCTGATCCACTCCAACGTCCACCTCTTTGGTTTGAAAGCAAACACATCAGGAAAAGCAGGTAGGTAGGTAGGTAGGTAGGTAGGTAGGTAGGTAGGTAGGTAGGTAGGTAGGTAGGTAGGTAGGTAGGTAGGTAGGTAGGTAG